TACAAGTTCTAAAGGTCTCAGTATAGTTACAACGGCTGCCCCAACCAATCTCAATTGTATTATGATATATAACGGCTGTCCCACCCTATATTAATAGGCTGGATGGTTTATAGCTATAGTAAACGTTATTATTAGTATGTTCCAAACGGAGATACATAATTGTTATTACGATTGAAAATACCGCTAAAATTTAAATTCATAAAACATTCGTTGAACACAAATCAAGCGAGCGGTTATCTCTGCATTCTTTACATCCCGACACTGACTGATAACTTGACAGGGGACATGGAGGTCGACTGATTGATCTAGGAATTGCGTGGCCAACCCTCAAAATGATAGATCACTGTCTTGGGATGGCGGATTATTACTGGATCCCAGATAGGCGTTTAGTGAGTGATAGTTGATTCCAACGGTCGTTTTGAACCGCCACATCGCCGAGGATCCTGCCTATCGTAATACCCTATTTTCGGCCTTTATCAGTTAGATATTGCAGATTTATGGAACTGGGAAACTTTACACCACTTTCGTAAAAAAAAGCATTTCCTAGTACCTACCTATCTATAAGCAAAGCATTCATAAGAACAAAACATTTTGTTTATATTTTTTTTATATTTTAGTTGGTTTACAAGAACTGTTTTTTTACACCAAAAAAATTCATTCGAATGGCATAGCTTCGTACTACCTATATTAATTAAATGGGTACGATTGTAGGGTATAAAAAAAACTAGGAAGTAAAGTTCTATACATTAAGTTCAAGGATCATTGCACGTTTTACGCGTGTCATTGATTCTACAATAAAGTCATAAGTTAATTGTGAAACATATAAATTAAGATATTTTGTGGATATTAGTGTTTTTTTTTTATTGCTCAGATGGGTGGACGAGCTCACAGCCCATCTGGTATTAAGTGGTTACTGGAGCCCATAGAATCTACAACGTAAATGCGCCACCCACCTTGAGATATAAGTTCTAAGGTCTCAAGTATGGTTACAACGGCTACCCCGCCCTTCAAGCCGAAACGCATTACTGCTTCACGACAAAAAAATAGGCAGGATGGTGGTACTTACACGCGCGAACACACAAGATGTCGTACCACTAGTAATTACGCAAATTATAATTTTGAAGGTTCGATTTTTATTACACGATGTTATTCCATCACCGTGGAAGTCAATCGTGAACATTTGTAGAGTACGTATTTCATTAGAAAAATTGGTACCCGTCTGAGATTCGAACACCGGTGCATCGCTCAACACGAATGCACCGGACCTTTAGGCCACGACGACGACTAATTGTATCAATAGTACATATTATTACATGTACATATACAGTCAAAATCTGTTATAACGACATCGAAGGGACTGCTCATATTCTGTCGTAAAAACCGGTGATGTTTAATGTGTATCGTGCAAGTACAAACAAATCGATAGGGAATTATTGGAAAAATATATTTACATAATACGCGATTTTTCTTCAATATTAAATTTTTTTCTTTTTCTTTGCGACATTTTGAAAATTTCACGAATAACTCCCCAAAGTTTTGGTGCGTCTTGTGTATAGATAAGTAAAAAACTAACTGAAGAGATATGAATAAGCGGACTTTGACTCTACCGCATGCACGTGTTTTGTTTCTAAGAATTAGAAAAGACCCTACACTAAACTAAATCCTATTGTTTTCTTTCCTGATTTTAATAGCCATTGAAGACAGATGTGAATACCTATTCAAATTGTTTACAATACAACTTACCCGGTCGTTTTAACAGATCTAATACTCCGAAATATTAGTTAAATGTGGTCGTTTTATGAGGTATGTCGTTATAAGCAATGTCGTATAAAGCAATGTTTTTAATAAGGCGGTCATATAGCATTCAGCCGGGACCTTTGTTCATGGTTATTATAACCGGTATGTTGTTCTAAACGATGTCGCAGTAAACGGTTTTGACTGTATGTACATATATGGAAAACGAAACAGTACAGCCAAGAACTATAATATTTTATTGCTCATATTTTTAATAACAGTAAACAGAATACTACCTCCGCTAATAATCAGTGACGTTAATATTCCGTTCCCTACATTAGTAATAGTAAGATATAATGGTGTCCAAATATAACACCGAGAGTTAATGGAAATCTTCAATCCAATCTTGGCAAATAATTGGTTAGACGCACCTGGTTTTGGCAACAAAGGTTCCCTGTTTCATTGTTCGGGGTGGGTTTATTAGTAGCGTACGCAACATTCCATCGCAAATTAACACGGAACCGGACCGCAGAACATGACCAACGACTTCCATCTGAACCATATTTTTCCTTAATAGGTAATTTTCTTAAAACATCCACTGCCGAAGAGATGAATTGGCAGTAATTGATCTGTTTCTTTCGTATGTCGGTTCGCGTATCTCTCTCTGACTTGTAACATCCAACTTAGTTTTATGTTGTTCTCGTTTATCGTTATAGTCTGATTAAAATTGTATTATTTCTATTTTATTTTATATACGTTAGAGGTCTTTTGAATGAATGAATACCTAACAATTATGTATGTATACAAATAATATTCAGCTTTGATTAGGTTTGACCCTATCGAATACAAAATAATGTGTATAATAAAATCTGAAACGGCTTTTTATTTTTGTTTTACGTTGGTCATATCGAAATGGCCGACCTTTGTTAGGAAATTGGAAATGTACCACACAAAGGATCTTAAATTAAATCAACTATCCTAATATCCCTTTAGGACTACATAGAGGGTAGGGAGGTGAGAGGCCTCTATATAACTTGCTATTTTGTCTTAGTTCCATTAAACAAGTAAACGTTAAATAACTTTTATAATAATAAATTAAAATCAACAATTTTAGTGAGCTTTATTTCTGTCTGATAGTCTGTGGCTCTAAATGTAGTATCAATGTATCGTCAAAATAAAGTATAAATATAAGGTAGCATTTAATATTGAAGATCAATAAGGATAGTTAGTTAGTTAGGAATCGAAGCTATCTATCTGGAAACTTTTACAACTATATTTCATGTTCTTGATTAACTATTAATTTGTTTTCAAAAGACCTTCATTTATTTCGGAGCGATCTAAGTTTCACAAACATTTTCAAATGCGAACTCGAGTAAAAGAGTTATTTGAGTTAAATGTTTTTGCTCATTTATGTGTCTGCTATATCGAACTTTTACGTACTCATATTTAGTATTATATTAAGTTAAGTTATAATATAATAAAGGCATTTGAACACACAATATGTGAAAAAGTTTTTGTTAAAATGTTTTCACTGCATAGATGAGTGAAACTCAAACTTAATACGAGCGTTTTTATTTTATTTATTTATTGCATAGATAGGTGGACGAACGCACAGCCCACCTGGTGTTAAGTGGTTACCGGAGCCCATAGACATCACAACATGAATGCCGCCACCCACCTTGACACATGAGGTCGAAGTCTCAATTATACTGTGTAGTGTAATAGATATAATAATTAATACTTGGAACTCAGGTCCCAAAGTGGTATGTGGCGGCATTCAAATTATCGGTGAGCTATGGTAACCATTTAAGATCAGGTGGATTGTGAGCTCGTACCCACCTAGTACAAATAATACCTTCTTATACATAGTTCATTTTTTAAATATTTTTACATTAATTCTGATATTTTATCTGTTCGATGCATGATTAACAATAATATAATTACGGAAACCTAAAGCGATACATTTTATATATTACATTTTATACCGAGACCGAAGAAGACATGGATGGAGTGTGTGAATGAGGATATGAGAGAGTGAGGAGTGAGTGTTGAGATGACAGCTGATAAAAAAGAATGGAATAGAAAAATTCGCTGTGCCGACTCCACCTAGAGGGATAAGGTAGAGACAGTGAAAATTTTAACATGACAAAAAAAAAACCTGGCTGTTCCATTTTTTTTAATCGCAAAACATTAAAAATCGTTGACAAACAAAGAAAATGGTCCAGATCAGAAGTCCTTGCCTATTTATATTCAGACTAGTGAATCCCGACCCGGTTTGTTGGCCGATCTTTGATTTAATTTTGACCAAATCCCTACTAAAAATTTCAATATCATCCCCTAGATCAATTCGAACCTTTCGTCAATTTTTTTTCGAAATCGGTCCAGCCCTTTCGGAGTCCAAAGAGAACATAATATGAACATACACACGTGTACTTATATATACTATATACATCAAAAGATAACACCACGGAATTAGTAGACAATACCAACAGACATTCAAAAAGAATACCCCTTTTAGTTGCGATAAAAATACAATCCAAACCAATTAAATAACAAGAGGTCATGACTTTTCCATTTCAACTTCGTCTAAAAGTGTATCGTTAAACTTTATCTAACGTGTAGTTGTTTTGTGTTCTTCAAATAGCAGTCAGTAACATTGCGAATTAACGTCTTAATTACGCATACATTGTATGAAGGAAAAAGTCAAAGAACTTCTTTAAAATAGTAACAATAAGGTCATACAAATCACTATTTTCTTTTTTTTTCTTCACGGCAAAAATAGGCAGGGTTGTGGTACCTACCCGTGCTGGCTCACAAGAATTTTGTACTACCAGTTATTACGCAAATAATAATTTTGCGGGTTTGATTTTTATTACACCATGTTATTGCTTCACCGTGGAAGTCAATCGTGAACATTTGTTAAGTACGTACTTCAATAGAGAAATTGGTACCCGCCTGCGGGATTCAAACATCGTTGCATCCACAGATCATGTGTTTCTCTGATCTGTGGTTGCATCGCTCGACACGAATGCACCGGACGTTTTGTCCTTTAGGGCATGATTTTTCTTTATATTATGTTGAACCACAATTATATTTAAAAAAATGTAAATGTTGTGTGTACTAATATCGTGTAAAGGGCGATATTATCTTATTAATAGAAAAATATTCACAGAGGAGCTTGTCTACCTTATAACCTTCGTTGTGTTCACAAATTAGCACGCTTATCAACTTATAAATGCTCTTCAGGAATTGTGTATTGTCATCAGGGTGCAAATATGTCGTCTCCATCGAAACATCGCTCCAAAAAGCAATCGAAATTCAAGAGGTTAATGCACAAAAGGCTTCCAATTTCAAAATGGCTCCCAGAGTACAACTCAAGTAAAGCCGTTGCAGATTTGATAGCCGGGATCACAGTCGGACTGACAGTCATTCCCCAGGCTTTAGCGTACGCCACGTTGGCCGGGCTAGAACCACAGGTAAAATCTACATAACTATTATGAAATAGCAACATTATTGACGTGTATTATGGGTGTATTGAATGCCCGAATGAGTAGATAGATATCACTGCCTATTTCTATGCAGCTAGGGGTTTGGTCCCAATGGGACAGCCGTTACACAGTAACCTTGAGGATTCAACATCATGTGTCCCATGGACTCCGGCAATCACCTAACCCCGTGTGTACCAATTTCAAAATACAAACTCTCTCATTCTGTAATGTAACTTGCGTAGTGATTGGCTTGTGAATCCTTAAGCAACTCGTAGGCGTAACACATGCTTTAATCACGGACTAGAGGTCCCACAGTAGTCGAAATTCGACTATAATTGGAATTGTAAGTTTGTACACTATTATGATTGTATTTTATACTTCTATAATCACAAATTTCGCCAAGGCTACTTTATAAAAAATATTAATAAAGACAAACCATATTCTATTCTCAATTTGACAACAGACGTCAAGAACAAAAGTTTGACAGTAAATAGTATGCATGCGTTTGTGCGTCAAATACATGGATTGTAGTGTGTGTAATGTTTTCTTTATTGATTTAATGTATCCTTTATGAATTATTTTAAAAAAATATTAACATTGTGCACTTCTTCTCTATATTCTCTATAAGTGTGGAAAATTTCATACTCCTTCGTCCATGCAATTTTCGTAAACAGGGATACAAAGTTTTTGCTTCACGTATTAATATATAGATGTCACATTTTTATAACCGCATTTGTTTTCAGTACGGTCTCTATTCGTCATTCGTGGGCTGCTTTATATACATCATATTTGGATCATGCAAAGACATCACCCTGGGCCCCACAGCTTTATTGGCTCTCATGACGCATCAGCAGATACTAGGAAGGAATACAGACTACGCTATACTGCTCTGTTTTTTATCCGGAGTGGTGCAGTTGGCTATGGGAATATTGCATTTAGGTAAGCTTAGAAATGCATACACCTACACAGTAAACACTATAATCGCACTCCAATCCCTACAATCCCGCTTTTGCAGGTTAGCCGTCGGGGCTCCGTGGTTCGTGAGGAACGTCGACCTACACGACGACCTGGGCCTCGAATCGATCCGCAAACACATGAAGTTAGTGTCGGAATGTTACTTCGATAAGGCTATGCGTCATGATAATCGCCTTATCGTTGCCGCCGCTGATTACTCCCCGAATCCTGATCACGCAGGAGCAAGTCACCGTCGTCGCCCTAGACACGTCCTTACGGATCCATCAGATCCAATAACTCTTGCATTAGATACCTTCAGCTCTAACACTAGGAGCAGGCTGAGGAACCCCGGTAACCGTACTCGTCGNGTCGCCCTAGACACGTCCTTACGGATCCATCAGATCCAATAACTCTTGCATTAGATACCTTCAGCTCTAACACTAGGAGCAGGCTGAGGAACCCCGGTAACCGTACTCGTCGAACTCGACAAAGAGGTCGACGTGCAACCTAACCCATGCATCAGCCCGCTGAGTTTCTCGCCGGATCTTCTCAGTGGGTCGCGATTCCAATCCGGTAGTAGATTCATTCGCGAAGCAATTGCTCTTGAGTTGTTAGGTCTCCTTCGGAGGCGCTCGGGTAGTTGTTAGCAAATCCCACCCCTCCTGGCTGAGCCTTTGCTCGCCCACCTGTCCTGGTGAAGCTGGAAAGGCCACCAGGACACCAGTAATCTTTCAATCATAAAAAAAAAAAAACTATAATCTTCACTATTAGATATATACACGAATACACGAGCAATATAAAACTAAATTTATATTATGCAGTCATTGACAGATACTGGAAACTTTGTTGAGCTTATAAAAATAACAATTAGAACTTGGATCTAATATCTAAACGTCGAAAACTGTATTCATTCGCGGCCTATAAGCTTTGGTGACCGTTTTTTGCCATTACAGTTATGATTATGTCTTCCTGTGTATATCATTAAGAAAAAATGTAAATCTACTTGAGTTTAGAACACGTGGCTGTTTGTTTACCACATCAAAAAACAATGACAAAACCGGATGACCTACTTTGTCATATCATGTTAACTTTTATTTTGGCCGATTTTTAATAGGAAGTAAAATCTTGTGATGCCAATATCTCGTGCTAAAGTCCTCACGATCCATGCACTCCTCAGGTGGCGGATTAGTTGGACGGAGACTTGTACAATTAAGAATAAAAGCATCGTGACAATATTCACTTTAAAAGATTAAGATATGAGAATTCTGCGGACAGAAGCGCATCGTGACGTGCTTGAATAGTATGCAACTATTAAAATGGTTAGATTCGTATATTCGATAACTCTTCCATAAACCTTAACATAACATTACCTAACTTAGGAAAAAAACTTAAGGTTGCCATCGAAATGACTATCGCATAAGTACGACTTAATCTATATATTATATAAAAATGAATTGCTGTTCGTTAGTCTCGCTAAAACTCGAGAACGGCTGGACTGATTTGGCTAATTTTGGTCTTGAATTATTTGTCGAAGTCCAGAGAAGGTTTAAAAGGTAGATGAATATGAAAATGCTCGGAATTAAATAAAAATAACAATTTTGTTTGTCCTTTGATGTGTCCCCCGTCGGACGGATCCTTTTGTTTGTTTTAAGTTTATTTTATACAAAAGTTTAGATCGTTTATTTATCGATTGAGGCACTACGAAGTCTGCCGGGTCAGCTAGTATTTATTAAAAATCTAATACGAACTATTTAACTATCAATCTATCAATCCTTTGATGACTAGTCGATTAAAATCAACTAATGGGTAATTGGTAGATACAAAGTTGTTATCAAAACACCTTAATTATCATATAAAACTGGTGGTGAAATGATTATTTTAATTTAAGAAATACAGCTGTTTTTTCAGTAAAGACATTTAAAATTTACACAACATTATGTGCTAAGGTGGCGAAATATGTTTTGCGGTAAAAGAATGTTAATAGTATACTATCAACTGTTGTCTTCGTATCCAAAACACACATTCTTCTCATAAACCTACTATTTTTACATTTCAGTATTGCCTTGAAGGTTGTTTTTTTAAACACAACAATTTCTGCCTTATATGCCAATTACAGTACCTATCAAATACAATAGCACTGTATTATAATAACTTCCTCTTTGGCACAAGGTCGCTTTGATGTAATAAGCGCTGCGAAAGAGAAAACCACTCCGAAGTAATAATAGGTAGGGAAAAAAGTTTTTTCGTATTTTATATACAAATTCAAGTCATTTGGTTATAAATAAATGGCCCATTTGGTCGATAGTTTCTAGCAATTCTGTAGGTAGTGGCATAATCCCATTGATGTAGAAATGTTGGATTTCTGAACCAGAACTACGACAAGTAGCTTAGGCATTGCTATCTTGATGTTAATCTAATCTATACTAATATATAAATCTACAGTGGTTTTTACAGATGTTCCGTTATAACTACTGAACCATGTATCCGGTTAACTTGAAACTTGGTATCCATGTAAAAAATACATGTACTTAATGGATAGGCTAATATTTATATCAGTGTTGGACTCCGTACACCAGTTGTGGGGGCGTTAATGATGAGAATCTGTGTGGGGGTGAGAAATAATAATGTTAATTTTAAATGCCCAGCGAAGCGGACGGGTACAGCTAGTACTATCTAAATACAATAATTCTAAAGAGACAAGTGAGAATTTGAAGGTACAAGATCCGCTCTAAACGATAGATGCATTAACACCATCATTACCTGGAGCCACTGCGGTCATCCACAGTGCGTTTCCAGAGGTCTTTTTTGCCACGTACCATCCGGCTATGGAATGAGCTCCCTTCCATGGTTTTTCCCGAGCGCTATGACATATGTCCTTCTATCTCCTATGTCTTGTGGAGAGTATTAAGCGGTAAGCAGCGGCTTGGCTCTGCCCCTATCATTGCTGAAGTCCATGGGCGACGGTAACCACTCACCATCAGGTGGGCCGTATGCTCGTCTGCCTACAAGGGCAATAAAAAAAAACCACGCTCAATATTTTCTGTTAGCTAAAGTGTGTTATCGTGATGGAAAATCACATTCTATCTATTGATAACTTCCGGCAGTTTATTCTCTTTTTCTTTATTGGAGTATTATCAACTGTAAGCAATACAGATCCGAATCGATTATTTCATCTGGCGGTAAAAACTTCTAACAAACGATGCTCTACCAATCCCACCGTGCACACAGCATTACATTATTGCCTGTTAACCGCGTTTCGCTAGTAATTTTAATAAACGATTCGATTTCATTAGGTTTCAATAGAGAATCGTAAATGATTCCTCGATTAGTTAGGTCTCTTTCAGTGAGCTCGTGTTGTAACCCATATATCGAGCCCATAAATCCAGATTTTGATGTGAAACATCTATAGCCGCACATAAAACCGATTTCTGGCGTGGCGACGCGTCGCCACGGCATGCGCAATCGACTGTGCGATTCTCTCCCACTCGATCCGGCGTTAAGCCATCTCTCTCGCTACACTGAGCTCGGATACCCTATTCCGTGCGGATACCTATAGTGTATACTCCGTAGTGTATACAGTGTTGTTTACTACAGTACACATAACCTGTGTTTTACTTGAAAACAAATTATTTTTTCGTAATATTTTATTTTATCATTATGACATATTTAGTTCCTATCACAATGTGTTCTTTTCTGCATATTACTTTTACAAAATAATGTCGATGTTTCACTTCTGCCGGGCGTCCCGTGACGGCTCAAATTTTGTTTGAAGTAGGCCAAAACTCTTTTGCGGTCTAATATTCAGTGATACCGTAAATAATAATAATTTTATTTTGGCCCACTTTTCAGAAGATGGCGTATTTTTTATCAAGTTCTAATGCTATGTGATCAAAATCTCCGAACTAAAAACACTCGAATTAATTTTATGCTAATCTTACTGACAATGCGTTAAGTACATAAACATCACAGATTCTTTTTGCTTCTTGTGTCGCATTTTTTCTTTTTTTTGTTATAGAACATCAAAACGTATTGAATTTTATCATTCGATTCACTCATTTTAGCAGATAGAAAAACATAAATGTATTTTTTATTTTTTATTTTTCTGTTATCAAAACGCTATTTATTTAATAACAGTATCAATACCAGCTAGATACCAACAGTACAACCAAAGAGATTTTATCGAAGCTTTTTCATCAATCTAATGTGATACATACTTTGAATGTCTAAAAATATAAAGAAAAAGTCAAATTTGAGGCCAACAACCCAAACCTTCTTGTTAGACTTAAAAAAAAAGTTTGTAAATGCGATATTTTTCGAAAATTTAGCATTTTTTAAATATCAATGATAATTTTTCGAAGCTTTTTGTGAACGCTTTCTAATCATATATTCATGTAATCATTTACCATAAATATCGTGTACCACACACGTGCCTTCTATATTTGAATAATGAATGTTCATAATCCAACGAACCTTGAGCCTTGGCCTAATAAATCACGCTTAAACATAAACAAAGTAAATTGTTCATCATCTATAATAAAATGCCTACGTAACATGTGAAATTTAAATTAAATTTTCATTACTTTCGTATCAACGCTAGCCGATCCCAATAATTTCCCCTTTGTTATCATTTAATTGAAACGGCCCATATACGTAATACGATGTATGAATACAATAAAATCAGGCAACGTTCACTCTCTCGTGGGCTTCGGGGTCACAAATTTATGAAGTAATCGATGTCATGTTGCTTTTTAATATCCACAGACACAAATTTTACGGACATTCATCAAATATACCTACTAGCTTGTTAGTGGGGAATATTAAAAGCCTGCAAAGAATACCGTAGTCTTGCTTATCTGTGAATGCGTTGAAGGGTAAGCTTCTGACGGGCAGTATCCACGTTGTGATACAACTTTGGGCATTGGTAATTACTTAATGGCAAGTTGGTGTTAAACGACCTTTTTATTTTATTAAATAAATTATAACTGAAATCGAATTTAATCGAACCCTCAAACAATAGTGCAAGGTGTTTTTGTATCACCATTTGTTTTTTTTGTGTTAAACAATTTTGGGAACGCTCCAATTTGAAAAATACATTAAACTCACATTAAATTATTTCAAGTGCGATAGACAAAAACACTAGATGCTGTCTCCTAACATTAACTACGTCACAATTCGTTATAGTCATTCTTTCCAGTGAGATTGTTAGGATTCGAGTATTGTAACGGTTCGTTACGTAATTTACATCGGACGACAACTTGAAAATTATATTTAATTATTATTTTGAAAAAAGTTTAAAACACCATTTAAAAATGGAAGATTCAAATAAAATTATGATTATGCGGTGGTATCTACCGTAGGGGTTCACAACGATAACCATCAGTAAATAGCACCTATACTATTTTTAATGTGATGTGTAATTAGAAACTCAAATCTCTTTTGTGTATCATGTAGAACCACTTCTCCACTATTTGAATTATCAGGACCGTGTGAAATTATCCTTACACCATAATAAAATTTGATTAGTTAATAATTCCAATTAGTGTAAACAAATTCTATTTATGCGTGCAGCGGCGATAGGTAAACGCTCGGTTGTGTTTCGTTTCGCAAAGCACACATTCATTCCGGTTTGGACATTATTTGTAGTATATATAAAATATTGACTTTAGACACACTTTATACTATGGACGGTAGAGGTAAGGAGTACCATCTTGTATATGGGACAAGTTTTTTATTTATTTTTATTGCTTAGATGGATGGACGAGCTCACAGCCCACCTGGAGTTAAGTGGTTACTGGAGCCCATAGACATCTACGATGTAAATGCGCCACCCACCTTGAGATATAAGTTATAAGGTCTCAGTATAGTTACAACGGCTGTCCCGCCCTTCAAACCGAAACGCATTACTGCTTCGGCTTGGCTCTGCCCCTGGCATTGCTGAAGTCCATGGGCGATGGTAACCACTCACCATCAGGTGGGCCGTATGATCGTCTGCCTACAAGGGCAATAAAAAAAATAAAAAAAACCTACCCGTGCGTACTCACAAATGTTCCTACCACCAGTAATTACGCAAATTATAATTTTGCTGGTTTGATTTTTATTACACGATGTTATTCCTTCACCGTGGAAGTCAATCGTGAAAATTTGTCAAGTACTAAGTATTTCATTAGAAAAATTGGTACCCGCCTGTGGGATTCGAACACTAGTGCACCGCTAGATACATTAGTGTAGTAAGTGAAAATGATATGACTATAGCAATTTTAAATATAGTAAAGTGTGCTGGATTTAGGTGAATTGTGGTAGTTTATAATGCTGTTTTTTTAATTTTGACAACTTGCTATTATAGCGCCATTCTTCCTTGCTCCCTTTAAGCGGAAACTTTTTAATACACCGAAATGTTGCTCCTTACTTCTATCCTCCATATTTTAGACTTGACTATGATGACACTTGTAGCTGATAACTCTATTTCTGTAATCTGACGAAGCGTGTCGCGGATAATAATACCTATGTACTTTTAGGTTATTAAAATAATATTTTGTGTAAATGTTTGGTTATAAGGCATTAATAAATTATTAGTAAATTTGTAAAATAAAAATTTTTTTTAGACTTAGACTTTATGTCTGAACCCACGTTGTGGTGATTATGATCTGCGGCACACACTTTCTATACGTCACAACGTACAAACAACGTTTAAAAAGAAATTTGAGTCGAACTTTCTCATTTCACACATAAACGGTGACGGTAATTTGTATTTTTAAGTATAGTGTTATAAGATCAGATATCGAACTAAATAAGTTTATGGTTTTACTATGGTTTTACCATCAGACCAAAATAAGCTAAATAATTTTTACTGGTGGTAGGACCTCTTGTGAGTCCGCGCGGGTAGGTACCACCATCTTGGCTATTTCTGCCGTGAAACAGTAACGCGTTTTGGTTTGGAGGGTGGGACAGCCGTTGTAACTATAGTGAGACCTTAGAACTTATATCTCAAGGTGGGTGGCGCATTTATGTTGTACATGTCTATGGGCTCCAGTAACCACTTAACACCAGGTAGGCTGTGAGCTCGTCTACCCATCTAAGCTATAAAAAAAAGCTGTTACAATAATACTAACTTTGATAATGTGGTTACATTCTATTTCAATAAGCCTCTTTGTTTTTATCACCAACTAGCTGACCCCGCAGACTTCGTAGTGCCTCAATCGATATATATAAGATCTAAACTTTTGTATAAAATAAACTTAAAACAAACAAAAGGAATCAGTCCGACGGGGGACACATCAAAGGAAAAACAAAATTGTTATTTTTATTTAATTCAGAGCAATTTCATATTTATCTAACTTTTAAACCTTCTCTAGACTTCTACAAATAATTCAAGACCAAAATTAGCCAAATCGGTCCAGCCGTTCTTGAGTTTTAGCGAAACTAACGAACAGCAATTCATTTTTATATATATTATAAGATAACGAACAACAAAACACAATATCTTTAACAGAGACGCTAAATACTGCATGGGTGCTGCGATATTTTGTATTGAAAACTATAAGGCTCTCCGCGCGACTACCCTGCTGTAAATATAAGCAGGATTTCGGATCATTCAGGGTTTAAACACGCTCAAATAATCGCTTATTTTCGCTCCTCACAGGCGTCCTCATTGATTTCATATCGGTGCCTGTAACCGTCGGTTTCACATCAGCCACGTCTGTGATAATAGCCGTGTCGCAACTGAAAGGATTACTCGGCCTACAGTTTGAGTCTGGTGGGTTTTTGGATACTTTGAAGAAGGTAAGAATTTGATGGTGTTTTTTTTAAAAAACATTGTATAGCATGGGTGCCTGGCGACATTATTTACTACCCAGATAGGCATACGATGAAAATGAGGAAAATGGGAAATGGTCGTTTCTTATTTTGTTTTAGATGGACAGGAACATGTTATTAATTGATTACTGGACAATACCCGATCCTGTGGACCGAATGGTAAACAGTCGACGTCGCTCTAAACACGTCATTACGGATCCTACTGATCCATTACCGGTGCTTTTAGGTACCTCAAGCACCGGTCACCGTCTTCGCCGAACCCGACGCTTACGACGAAGGGCTCGACGAGTAAATCAACCCATAGATACAGCCCACTGAGTTTCTCGCCGGATCTTCTCAGTGGGTCGCGTTTCCGATCCGGTGGTAGATTCTGCGAAGCATTGCTCTTGCTAGGGCCAGTGTTAGCAACGCCTCCTGGTTTGAGCCCCGAGAGCTCACTCACACGTTATGGAGAAGCTGAAATAGCCTCTCAAGGCTATCAGCATAGGTAGGAGAAAAAAAGGTTACTGGACTGGACCTCTCATCTGAAGAAATGAGGTCGGAGTATTAAATGGTTTCCTATAGTGCCTGTCCCACCCTTTAAATTGGGGCTCATCTCATAATGTGGACCTTACCACTAATAAATTCGGATAGCTATCTTCTGCTACAGTATTCAGAGAGATTTTAAAGAACTCTCTTTTGCGACACGTTTCTTGGCAAAAAATCCTAAATAAAAAGTAAGAAGTAAAGTAAAGAAAAAATGCAAACATCTTATGTGAAATATACAAAAATCTGTCTAGTTATTATTTAAAAAACATAATATCTACATATAACATAATATCTAAAAATATAATACAAATTCTATTTGTATGTAAATAGTATTCGACAAATCGTCACTACAACAAATGCTTTGGTAGGTAAGTTCTGAACTAGACCATTAAATACTAATCGCCGTTTCTAATTCGCTTTAATAATTAATTAATTCCGTTATTACGCAAAAACCATTCGAACGGCTCCATGATCGGTTTTATAAGTTTTCCACAAGGATATCTGAATAAGTGTATACAAAAGTGACTAATTGTAACTTCGCTGACTCGTGTTCGATGCGTGCGCGCGACTTGTGTGCGTGTTTGGAATTACATGTGTGTGTTTTTTTCAAATTACACGATTATTACAGGTTACAGAACGTTTGCCGCTAGGGGCGCTGTTCCAACCGCATTCAAATTTGAGTTAACTTTTACGCTATCGAGAACGTTAACAAAATCGCACTAAGCACACATGTTACACTAGTTGTCGGTAGTGATTAGGAACTTTTGTACATAGATCCCACCCGATACTGGGACGATTCAACGACCATTCCGATTCAAACCACCATTCAAAAAGGTTACTTTTCACGAACTTGAAAAAAATCCTAAAATAAAAAATTTTAGGTCGCTTAGTGGCAATGTCGTGTTATGTCTGTCGCACGCTGATTTAATAATTGTGACGCCATACGATATACTCCTATTTTTGATACTCGACAAAATAACTAGAGAGGTCATTATAAGTTTTTCCTGAGTTGACGTTTGAATAATCCCCAAGATAGTTTCAACACAAAAAAGTTCCTTTATTTATAAAATAGTGAACGTAAAAACATCAATCTTAAAGGATTTTTTTTCTATTTTTTTTTAGGTTATTACAAATATACCCAAAGCTAGAGTTGAGGACAGCACGCTGGGTATTTCGTGCATAGTCATTCTGCTTTTAATGAGAGTATGTATATATTGAATTATTAAACTGTAATGAGTAACTTACTGAAATTTAAATAAATTATCTTAATATAATATATTTATAAAATATTAATGATAAGTAAAAAAGCATTAGTATTGGATTATGTGATTAATTAATTATTTGTTTTAGAACACTAAAAATAAGGATGACAAATGTCATTTTTGCCTAGTGACCTACTTACTGCAATATTTCAATTATTTACGCGCCATAGTAGATTTTTTTTACAATGTTTTAAATCAAAACCATTGACACGGTTGAATACCGAAAATTATTTAAAGTTAACGGTGTAGTAGTAATTAATGTTTTTTTGTTTCAGAAAATAAAAGATATAAATTTATCACCCAGCAGAAAGGGCTTGAAGAAAACACTATGGCTTCTGTCGACTTCCAGAAATGCAGTCATTGTTGTTCTGTGCTCCGTAGCGGCTTTTATACTGAAACAATATCAATTGACTCCGTTCAAGCTGACCGGAAAAGTTAAGTAAGTTCATTTATTTTCGACAAGAATTAGGACATTCCGTAATTAGCGCAGGGTAGATCGGCGGCTCTGACCCAAAAATCCAAAAAACGAGAGTGCGTTCCATTTTTGTTTAATTAGCGTAATGCTGTATTTGGTACCAAATCATTTGAAAAAAATATATCGGCCGCTGTTTGTTCTCATTCTATATAAGAATGAAAAATAATTAGCAAATTGCAAATAATAAACATTATTGGAGTTTTATAACATGAAGATAAAGTTTATAAGATTTTCTTTGAACTTAAGTGCGAACGCACTAAGACATAATGGATTGATAATACTGTTTGGTATAGTAATGTTATAACTCAATGCGATTTACGGAGTTTAGACATGATTTTTGCCTGCCTATAGTATATAGTAACCTCGAGGGGTTACACTGGCCTTGTCGAACGTGTAGGTGAGCTCACGCAGCTCAGCCTGGGAGACTGCGAACATCTGCCCTAACCTGAGCAGTGTGTAGCGATAGCCATCATACAACACAAGATATTTGACGGATGCCTGAATCTCGCTTACGACATTTTTTTTTATTACTTAGATGGGTGAACGAGCTCACAGCCCACCTGGTGCTAAGTGGTTACTGGAGCCCATGGACATCTACAACGTAAATGCGCCACCCACCTTGAGATATAAGTTCTAAGGTCTCAAGTATACTTACAACGGTTGCCCCACCCTTCAAACCGAAACGCATTACTGCTTCACGGCAGAAATAGGTAGGGTGGTGGTACCCACCCGCGCGGACTCACAAGAGGTCCTACCACCCGTTAACAACATTTTCAAGATAAGCTTGCATATATACAAGTTCCGAACAACAACATACGTCGTTCTGATATCGAGTCGAGGGAACGCGCTCTCGCCCCTGTCACATAACAGCCGGAGTCCCACAAGGCTCCGCCCTCTCCCCGTTACTGTTCAGTTTGTATATCAACGATATACCCCTGTCTCCGGAGACACCCATCTGGCGCCCTTCGCCGATGACACGGCTATCTACTACTCGTCCTTATTATATCGGCGACTCCAGACCGTGCCTGTTCACGGTCGCAGGAATCCACGAAATTAGGCACTGGCTGTACTCAAGCACTTTTTATACTATGAGTGACGGTGAGCCCTAAGCGTCGGTCAGTACGCTTGGCTGCATTTGTGAGTAATGAAAAATAATCGAACAGCGCAGACTGATCGTTATGTTGGACCTTGAGAGAGACCTCTCTTTCGTTTTTATAATGATAGATTGAAATTGTTCTCAGAAATGATATAAAAAGAACGCGTTCGCGTTAAAATTGGTAATAGATTTTTTTTTTAAGTATGCATACATTTTCGGATTGATAACATTTTGTAACAAGTATAATGAATAAAATTTACAACGTACCAACTTCAATTAAGAATTTCAAAAAGTGTTTGTATTGAACGAACAAAGTGGAATATTACCTTTTCACGCCTCATAATTTAATGTTCAATACAAAAAATATTCGCAGCTGAAAAATGTTATCGAGTGGGGAATGGGTATTTGGTTTAAGCGACATTTCACTTAATACGCGATATTTATGTTTGTAATTAAAGGTGCGTTTTATTTGGTATTAGCATCAAAAGTACGATGTTTTTAGTTGAACTTCAGTTTTTTTTTTTGGTCAGGAGGAAACACTTGAAGGGCCAGGGCTTGGGCGAGATCAGCCTCCCTGGCCCCCGCTCGACGGCGGCGGGCTTGCGCGTCTCTAACGCGCCCCGCCGCCTCCTTCTGCGAGATGGTGCACTCGCAGAAGTCGAGCATCGCCTTCCACGACTCGTCGTCGCCGAGCATCGATGCCACAACACTCGGCAACGACAAGTCGTTTCCTATTTTTGCGACGAGGACAGGGCGCCACCCCTCCCATGCGGGGCAGGCGGCGAGCGTATGCTCTGCCGTGTCCAAATCGCNGCGTCTCTAACGCGCCCCGCCGCCTCCTTCTGCGAGATGGTGCACTCGCAGAAGTCGAGCATCGCCTTCCACGACTCGTCGTCGCCGAGCATCGATGCCACAACACTCGGCAACGACAAGTCGTTTCCTATTTTTGCGACGAGGACAGGGCGCCACCCCTCCCATGCGGGGCAGGCGGCGAGCGTATGCTCTGCCGTGTCCAAATCGCAACCACAATGGTGGCACTCGGCCGTCGGCTCGGCTGTGATCTGGTGCAGGAACTCGCCGAAACAACCATGCCCAGTGAGCACCTGCGTGAGCCGAAATGTGAGACGTCCTCTGTCACGATTCACCCAGTCCACAAGGACCGGGCGAATCACCTCAACGGTCTTAAGACCAGCCGAAAGATCAGCCAGGTGTCTGGACCATGACTTCAGCACGGACCGCCGAGATTAGGCCCTCCGCGCTCTGACCACACCGCTGGGACGCGCCATGCTCCGGGCACGAAGGACAGCCCGCCACTGATAGCCAGCGGCGAGCGCCTCCGCTTCCAGAACCCAAGGCGGCGTCCCAGCCAGGAACTTTAGTTAAGCTTACTCTGTTTAGGACAATCATAAACATTTTATATATTATTATAATTGTTTCTGTTGTGGCAACAAGTCCTTGTAGTTGTACAAAATATCTGATCGTACTTAGCATGTGTGTTGTATTGTGTACCAAGAGAAATATAAAGCCTTCTTTCTAAATCTAATTTTATCGAAGCTAACCACACAAGATACAGTCCACTGTCCGAAACAACTCCATTGAAATAGCTGAAAATCTTTCTTTGTTACGATATATTTTCCAAATTTTGAACTTTACATGTCTGTAAGGTTTCAAAAATTACACTTAAACCAAATAGCCTTTTACCCCTCGATATGTTATTTTTTTGTTTCAATATCCGCATTAAAAATGAAGCAATTGCCTCTCTGCCGAACAACAATAAAAAAAGTGCGAAAAGGCCGTTAAAAACAACCACCGAAAATACGATTTCGGTTAGATCTTTGACCTTCTGATAAACTTAAGATTATCGCGATATTTGAGAGAATTAATTTCACAATATTTTATCACTCATATTACATCAGCATTCACCAATCTTTGTATCGGGAGGTCGCAATCGCATTCGACATTCGCTTTAGGTCGGCAATTAAGATAACAGTATAGTAATTAATTTTGAAAAATACTCTACAAATCAAAACTGTGTACTTTTACGACCGACTTCATGAGAACGAATAGTGTAAAGCTATGGAGGATAGAAGTAAGGAGGAATTTTAGTGTATTAAAAAGTGTCCGCCGAAAGGGAGGAGCCAATGAAGGTGGCGCCATAATAGCAAATGGAAAGATTAAAAAATAGCGCCATAAACTATTAGAGTAAGATACTAAATTAAGAAGGAAAGAAACTCTTCCTAAGTAAATGGTAAAAAGAAATAGTTGAGTTTTGAAATACTGCATATTTTTTAACTACACAAGTCAATGAAAAATATTAATTTTTCAACCCAGCATACTTCGCTCTGTTTAAATCTGCTATATTCATGTCGTTTCCATTTGCTATACCTGCGCTATTTCTATCTATCTAGCTCTAATAATTTTCTGTTTACAGGTGAACACTTTTTCAACTTGTCCCCTATATAAGATGGTCCTCCTTACTTCCACACTCCATTTGAACAGTATTCGACATAACCTATTAAAATGACAACTAAAAACGCGGAGTTAACTTGTTAAAGTAACTTTACTTATGTCTACGGCTCCGATCCGGTAGTAGATTCATTCGCAAAGCAATCGCTCTTGAGTTGTTAGGTCTCCTTCGGAGGCGCTCGGGCAGTTGTTAGCAAATCCCACCCCTCCTGGCTGAGCCTTTGCTCGCCCACCTGTCCTGGTGAAGCTGGAAAGGCCTCCGGGCCACCAGTAATCTTTCAATCAAAAAAAAAAAGCTTATATATAAAAATTACAATTGTACGACATTCAAACTGTTAAAATAAGAATTTAAATATATAGACATATCGTTGTCTTTCATGCTCCTTTTTTTTGTAATTTTAAATGTTAATATTATAATATTACTAGCTGACCCGGCAAACGTTGTGTTGCCTTAAATAGGATTTCTAGGGAAATTCTACTGTAGAAAAAAAAACCTCATTTAAACACATAATACCTCATTATAAACAAAAAAAAAAATCCAAAAAATTAAAATAAAAAATAAATGTTTGGGTTGGACAACCCTTTTCACTTAGGGGTAAAATAGATAGTAGCCGATTCTCAGACCTACTGAACATACTATTGATACACAAATAAAACCAAAAAAACATGGCTGAAAAATGTATAGTATTGTATAGCTCTCAAATATATAGTGTATAATCTATGATGTATAGTGAGTAAGTAACACAGGAGACCGGCTTCGTCCTCATCCCTACTACGCGATGTTTGGTGGATGAGTGGTGACACCTGGCGGGGATAGCTGATCGATTGATAGTTGATCAGTAGTCGACCTCGAGGGCGGGAGATCAAATTCAATTTAAAAAAAATCATAATTAGAGGAACTTGAAATTATAAACTCTGAATAAGAATTTATCGTACTACAATTATAATATTTGATTGCCATCTTGCAACCTTATTGCGGATTTGTGCACAGAATAAAAAAATAAAAAAATCGGGATGGAAAAATAGGGGTTGATCGTATAATGATCGAAAATTGAGAGTGATATGATTTTTTTTATTTTATGTCATGACAAAACAAAATAAAAAAACTTGCTAAAAAAATTAAAGTTTATAATTAACAAATAAAAAATAGGGGTTGATCATAGAGGGATGAAAAATTGAGAGTAACATCAGATTTTTTATTTTAATTCATGACAAAATAAAAATAAAAATGAAAATCTTGCCAAAAAAATTAAAGTTTATAATTAACAAATAAAAGTAGGGGTTGATCGTAGAGGGGTGAAAATTTCAGAGTAATATGAATTTTTTTATTCTACGTCATGACAAAATAAAAACAAAATTCTCGCAAAAAAATTTAAAGTTTTTAATTAGCAAATAAAAAATAAGGGTTGATCGTAGAGGGGTGAAAATTTAAGGTTGTATGTGTTTTTGTATGCTGTATCATAAAAAAATTAAATAAAAATTTTTTGTCTAAAAAATAACAAATAAAATTTAGGGGTGGACCACCCTTAACATTTAGGGGGATGAAAAATAGATGTTGTTCGATTCTCATAGATACCGGATAAGCACAAAAAATTTCATCAAAATCGGTCAAGCCGTTTCGGAGGAGTATGGCAACGAAAACTGTGACACGAGAATTTTATATATTAGATTAACATTTAGAATAACAAATTTACAATTAATACACAGATATCTGCCGATGAAAAATAATGATATTCATTAGGGGGCGTCCATTAATTACGTGAGGTGTTGAGGGGGGTTGAGGAAGTCAGGAGGGCGAAAGCTAAATCTTTCCAAATCTCGCTTTCTTAGCTAATATCACGTACTTTGTTTCTAGCAGAAAACCGTGTAAAATTGCGTGAAAAAGTATTTCTAGAATAAAATATAGCCAAATCTGACATAATAGTGCTTGTCGTATTCGTCCGAACTCCACAGATCAGCAAAGTATCGCTCGATCGTCTAAGCACTATCGACCAGCTGTATCGACGTGTGTTCGACAAACGTTGTTATTTAATTTTATGATTGTGATTTTATATTACATATCATATTCACAAATACTAATCTTTGCTAATCTTCAATAAAAGTAATAGAACAAGTTATGTTTTTTTTTCTCAATAATCCAACACGCTTACAGCCAAAACATAAATTTTGAAGAAGAAGAATTTTTGAAAAGAATGAAGATGGAGAAAGCAGGTGCGGGGGGAGAGAATTGAGGAAAATCTTACGAAAATTCAGGGGGGGGGTCGAAAAATTTTCAAAAATGCCTCACGTAATTAATGTACGTGCCCCTTATTTGTGATATATTGAATTTTGTGGCGTCCGTTTCAAATCTAAGTTGTTTTGTATTACGGGAAATATACATAAATGTATTCCTCGAACCCTGATGGCAATTTGCTACTCCGGGGTGTTCGTGTGGTGTACTAAAATTTAGAGAGCACTAATCCGTAGTAGCAGGAGAGCCTGTATGAGCTACGACCTTTGACCCTAAGTCATGGTGACCTTTATGTTAGTATTTATACGGTGAAATTGTAATTTTTTTTTTCAGAGAAGGCCTTCCCTCGTTCAAGTTACCGCCGTTCAGCACGGAATACGGCGGCAAAAATGTCACCTTCATAGAAATGTGCTCCGATCTCGGTTCTTCTATAGTTTTAGTTCCTATCATAGCGGTACTGGGCAATGTGGCTATTGCTAAAGCTTTTGGTGAGTCAACAACTATATTAAGTTATTTTTTATGTCGATAGCAAACGAATTTATGACGCAACTAATGCAAAGTCAAAGGAACTTAATAAAAATTGATACTACCGCTGCTAATTCTCGTATCATCGAACTACAGTGAGTCGCAGCTCCTTGTGCCTACGTTAATTATTGGTAAAGCGTAGACCAAGCTTCCGCTATTGCACGTATTTCCGTGAAGTAATTTACATTGAAATTAGCGTAAAATACATATACATTTTTAGGAAATCGTATAGTCGAGAATTTTTGTTTTAGAGAAAAATAATCTCAGAGGACAAGAGCAGATCCGAGACAAGCAGTTTGAGTCACATTGAATACATTCCCAATGATCGAAACCTATAGTAGTCCGTATCATTAATATATTTTCCTACCGAATTATTCATATTAGTTAAGCAAATATCATACATCGTGTTCATGATCTCAACGATAACAAGCTTCTAAAGCTAGTTTGGTGTTCGGGATTGGTAGTGATTATTTTTTTCTGACATCACACTCACGTGAAGTACTCGTTGGCGATTATTCACAGTTGACAGACTGTTAACAATGTATCAACATTCGATATGCCTACCAACTAAACATACAAGTAGGCAGACTGTCCCTGAAGCCGTAACCGGAACGAAATAATTGTCGATTTAATTAATATCACATTGACACGCAATGTAACGCAAAATAGGTGGCATTCGCCAGTATTCCCCCCAGACCGGTAATTTTACACTTCAGTTTTTTTTTAATTGCAATTACGTAGCATGTAATTAGTAAACTAATGCTTTTCGAATTTTTTAGAAATCGCCGGTCTACTTTTTCGGTAATCTTTACAATACCCCTTTTATGTAACTATCATTTGATTGGCGAGCGCAATGAGTTTCTTGCCGGATCTTCTCAGTGGATCGCGTTTCCGATCCGGTGCTAGATTTTGGGAAGCACTGCTCTTGCTAGGGTTAGTGTTAGCAACGTCGAGATCAACCATCAGCTTAGGTAGGAAAAAAGAAATTGACGGGTGCGAAAACATTAATTGGATTTCTTGGATGTATCGCGATGTGTCAAGTGATTCTTCTGAATTATACGTGCAATAATAGTTGCTTTTTATGCTTTTAGTATCAAGATACAAAATCGCTGGACTAAATACATATGGTTGAGCTCTATGGTTGAATCATCATTATTTAATTTTATCCCAAAAACAATTTCATATTAGTCATCTAATTTTTTTCATTTTTACTTCCCATTTCAAATATCCTTATTCAAGATTCCGCTCAAAGGACTAGAATCCAGGTCTCTATGTAACTATGTAATATTTTCCAGCCAGCGGAGACTCGATAGACGCGACCCAAGAACTGATAACCATATCGTTTGCGAATATTTTCGGTTCGTTTGTTGGCGCAATGCCGATAACGGGTTCATTTTCGAGAAGTGCTGTGAACCACGCCAGCGGTGTAGCAACACAGTTCGGGAGTATATACACAGGTTCGTCTAAACTTGGTCACCCTCATAACACCGTCAATAATAATAAATGTCATCAATGTCACACGTTCGGATGTTTAATGCCAACTCAAACTACACAAGTGTTTTTTGAATTATTATTTTTTGCTTGGATGGGTGGACGAACTCACAGCTCACCTGGTGTTAAGTGGTTACTGGAGCCCATAGACATCTACAACGTAATTGCGCCACCCACCTTGTGATGTTAGTTCTAAGGTCTCCGTATAGTTAGTACGGCTGTCCCACCCTTCAAGCCGAAACGCATTGCTGCTTCACGGCAGAAACAGGCAGGGTGGTGGTACCTACCCGCGCCTAGATACAATACAACTAAGATTTCAACCTCATCTCGTGATGTTCATTCCGCTTACCACTTAACGTCAGGTAGACACGCAGACCGTTCACATATTTATGCGAATAAAATACTATACTATAACGTTCATTTCCTTTTTAATATAATAGATTCGTATAAAATATAATAACACATTTAAATAATAATACAATTTCGTGAACGAATTGTTTGTAATGTCTGGTTTATTATACCATTTTTCAATTTCAATAGTCACGCTTCGTCAAATTATTTGCTTTAAAATAAAAGCAAGTGTTTATTTTTTTCATTTTATGTATTTTAAATACTTCCTGCTTTACTTTTGACAATTGACTTCCACGGTGAAGGAATAACATCGTGTAATAAAAATCAAAACCGCCCCACCTATTTCTGCCGTTAAGCAGTAATGCGTTTCGGTTTGAAGGGTGGGGCAGCGTTGTAACTATACTGAGACCTTAGAACTTATATCTCAAGGTGTGTGGCGCATTTACGTTGTAGATGTCTATGGGTTCCAGTAACCACTTAACACTAGGTGGGCTGTGAGCTCGTCAACACATATAGGCAATAAAAAATTAAAAAAACTTTATTTTATGCTCCAATTATTTGTAAATCTTGTTTTAATAACGAGACTCGGCTCATGTTCATTATGATAAACTTCGTTATCTTGCGTTTATGCAAACTGTCCCTAAATGCCAACAACTGTATCAAATTCCATATCTATCGGATAAAGCATTCCCGAATTCATAAATTACGAACAGCCATTATCAAATATCAGATTCGGTTAGCATGCACGCGTAATTGAAAAAAAAAACTTTATTTTCCAATTTTAAAAGTTTATCTAGAACTTGAAATGGATATGTTATTTTCTTTCTTTATAAAAGAAAGCATTTAAGCACCTTTATAAGCTAAAGACACACAGCACTATTTTAAAGATATTTAAATTAATAATTTAACTTAGACTACATTTATTTATATTTATTTTTTATTAACAAAAAGTCAAATCAAAATAATTTAACATAACTCAACCCACACAGTAGAACAGATCTTCCAACGCGCTTGAAGGAGGCACAGTCCCCAAGATACTGNTATTTTTTATTAACAAAAAGTCAAATCAAAATAATTTAACATAACTCAACCCACACAGTAGAACAGATCTTCCAACGCGCTTGAAGGAGGCACAGTCCCCAAGATACTGGCTACGTTGCCTCGTTGGACAGCCAGACTCACTCTCTGTGCAAAGTACCAGCCAGCCTTAGCATCATGTGTAACCTCCTTCAAGCGTTTGAAGATTTCTGTTAAAAATTTCTTTGCTTCAGGGCCCCAAGGGCCCATCGTCTCAACCGCGAAAGGCAAAAAAGAATAAGAAGACCCCAGACCCGAATACTTCCGCTTTTTTGTAATTTCTGCTGAAGCTGCAGCTGAACCGGGGCGGGACGAAGTACCATCTAACTACTTAGACTACATTAAATATAAAAAAATATCATTTCACGAAACCTGATTTATTTTTAAATTCATTCGCAACTGGAAACTACAGACGCCAATAGAAATAATTATTTGGAAGAGGAATTAGTGGAGAGATTAAAATAGAAAATAAGGTGTAAAGTATTTTTTTTTATTGCTTAGATCGGTCGACGAGCCCATAGCCCATCTGGTGTTAAGTGGTTGCCGGAGACCATAGAATTTTTTTCTTTGGTACATTTTTTCCTTATTAGGAAAGGCAAGGGGATCTAAGCCCATATGGCCTTGTCTGTTCTAGCCCATAGACATCTACAACGTAAATGCCGCCACCCACCTTGAGATATGAGTTCTAAGGTCTCAGTATAGTTACGAGGGGTGCACATTACAGTACACGAAGTATATATCGGAGCATAACCTAAGTAAAGTATTCGTAATTATTTAGATTAGAGACATGCCACGTTCGATATTTGTTGAGATTAGGGGAACCTTCATAACCATTAGAATTAGTTCATGGCATTGTAAATTAAAACATCTATATCATATACATATTTTTCCTGTCAATCATTATACAAAATACAAATGTCAACGAATGACTTCCGCTGTGAAGGAATCATGTGGTGCAATAAAAAAAAATCCGCAACAATTCTATTTTGCGTAATTACTGGTGGTTTTTATCCCTTCGAATAGTGAGGGAGAACGAGCTCTCCCAGCCCACCTGGTTACAGGAATCCATCATCACACTATAATGCTGCGCCATTCTTGAGACATGAGTTCGAAGTCTAATTTGTACAGTTTGACGGTCGTCCTACCCTCAATTTTAGTAGATTAAAATAAAAGAATTAAAATATGTTTAAGAAAAGTTATGGAGCTCCTTTTTTAATTCTCAGGTGCTTTGGTACTTCTCGCCTTAAGTCTGCTCACTCCATACTTCTACTACATACCAAAGGCCGCACTCGCGGCGGTCATCATTTGCGCTGTGATATTTATGATAGAATACGAGGTAAATATAATTTCCAAAAAAAAATATTTTTGAAAAGTGCACTAGTTTTTCTGCTGTATATAAATCTTCTTCTTTTATCAGTCTCTGTCACTTTATTCTTATAGCAAACTAGATCACGACTAGCTTCCTTGTGTTCATGTTCATTTTACACGCTTATTTTACACAGAAAATTTCATGTTTATAAGCACTTCAATGGGAATCTAGCTACTAAACGTACTTTTCTTGTGTCCTACCTGATTAATTAACAACGTCAATACCCTAACATATTTCATTTAGGGTACATTCAACAATTTCTCTCTTTGTTCTTCTTATTAAAGCGCCGGTATATCTAGTAGACTCTGGGAAAGACGAATCCGAAGATACTGACAATGAATCTATTTCTACGAGACCTAAAAGACTAAAACATACATTATCAAACAAAAGAAGGCAAAGTTAGGAAATCCAGGCGCTTAGTAACAGAAATCGACATAAACCAAAATAGCATGTTGCTTAAACCACAATAGCATGCTGCTAAACCAAAATAGCATGTTGCTAAACCAAAATAGCATGGTGCTTAAACTAAAATAGCATTTCACCTCCGTATATTGTTCCATGAACAGGTAGTGAAACCGATGTGGCGTTCTCGTCGGGCCGATTTAGTGCCTGCGTTCGCGACGTTCGCCCTGTGTCTGGCCATCGGGGTGGAGCTCGGGATATTGGCGGGCGTGGCCGTGAACGTGCTGCTGCTGCTGTACCCGAGCGCGAGGCCACAGCTGGACTCTGAAGTCATAACGGTAGCAGGATATTTTTTTACTGCCCTAGTAAGCAGATGCTAGGAATTCCCTGGACAGCACATCGCACCAACGTGTCGATCCTCCAAGAACTCCTGATAAAGACGAGGCTTTCTACCATCTGCCTACATAGAGTTCTGGATTACTTTGGCCACATTGCCAGTAAGGATCACGGCAGCTTGGAGAAGCTGATGGTGACTGGCAAGGTGAACGGAAGAAGACCACGAGGTACAGGCCCGATACGTTAGACTGACCAGATCCGCACTACACTCGACACCACAGCTCTCGATGCTCTACACTCGGCGGCAGATAGAAGCAAATGGCGGGGAATGGTCCGTAATAAATTCTTGCGAGTTGCGAGGAGGAGGTCACGACCCTCAGTATTGAGGAAACCGAAGCAAGAAGAAGTAGGCAGATGAGCGCACGGCCCACCTGATGGTAAGTGGTTACCCATGGACTTCAGCAATGCCAAGGGCAGAGCTAAGCCGCTGCCTACTGTTAAGTACTCTCCACTAGGCTAGTTCGAAGAAGGACATGTCATAGCGCTCGGGAAGCATCGTGGAGGGGAGCTCATTCCAAAGCCAAATCGATTCGTCGATAGTGCAACTTCAAAGTCGGATACCCGTGTTTTTATCATCGCACTGCCCGCCTGCGAAGCAATAAAATTACCCAAAACCACTGCATGCATCTACAATACTTTCACAGATATTTTTTATAGCGATTGCCATCCGGACTGTCCAGTGAACTTCCCTCCAATGTTACCAGAGCGCTATTACATATCTTTCGTTCTAAAAGGCTGCATCAAGGCATATAAAGAAAGATATACATCGTAGTATTATTAGCCAACAAATTTAACTATCTCAATTTTTCAATAATAGCAATATCAAAACTTTAAAAATAGAAAAGTTATTTGTAATTTATATCGAAAAATATATATATATTTATAATAATTATTATTTTTGAATTATTGCAGAATGGATCGGGCTTTTCGTATTTAATGGTGACCGTTGGGAATAGTCTATATTTCCCCGGAGTTGAATACATCAGGCAGTACGTTGAGAGGGTTGCCAAGAAGCAGGGCGGGTGCAGTATGCCCGTCGTTATAGACTGCAGATATGTTCTCGGTAAGTAAACCAAACTGGTGGTAGGACCTCTTGTGAGTCCGCACGGGTAGGTATCACCACCCTGCCTATTTCCGCTGTGAAGCAGAAATGCGTTTCGGTTTGAAGGGCGGGGCAGCCGTTGTAACTATACTGAGGCCTTAGAACTTATATCTCGAGGTGGGTGGTGCATTTACGTTGTAGATGTATATGGGCTCCAGTAACCACTTAACACCAGGTGCCTATCTAAGCAAAAAAAAAATGTAAGTTGTTTTTCTTGATACTGTTTCAGGAGCGGATTTCACGGCAGCTAAAGGAATGTGTTCATTGTCAAACTCTCTGTCGTCGCGCGGTCAGCCGTTGATACTGCTTTCCCCGCGAGCCAGCGTCGCGTCGGTGTTCAGGAACGCGGGCTCCAGTGTGGTCGTCGTGCTCACTAATTCTGAACTCGACACGACGCTACAAAGTAATTTTTAATTTATTACATTTCATGTAAAATTTACATTGGGGGACTTAATGCCGAAGGCATTCTCTACCAGTCAACCAAAGGTAATGCAGAGTAATTAAACCAATTAAAAGATGTGCAACAATTAATAAAAAAAAAAAAAAAAAAATTGACAACTGAAATTAACAATTTGGCTGTTATATACACTTTTCCACCCACATACTTACATATGCATCCTTAATAGCTAGAATCTGTATCCTCTGAGCTAACCTGTGCCTGTCATAGAGCACCATTCACAAATTTGTTTTTTTTTTCAGACATTACCGGCCAGATACCTTTACTAGTGGTAAATGGGCAGGAGAAACGCCAAACACCCCCGCCCAACTACGAGTCGTTAAGAGTCGACGATGACGTCACAGAGATAGTCATAACCGACGAAAAAAATACGACACCCCTTCTAAACAGAAACGGAAACAAACCGCGCAGCAACGAGGTCAATAACACATGACGTCATAGTACTAAATATCACCAGTAGACTTAGTCAGTACAATGTAAAGTTGCATGTAATTAATTAATTATAACAGTTTGGTTTTTTCTATTACGTTACGTAAACGATGCGTTACCAGTATATAGTAATATTAAAATTGAGGTGCTATTTTTGTATTAATATAAAAAAATACTTAATTATTTTAACGTTTAACACAATTAGGCAAATTTCTCATTTCTCACATACATCAAACGGCTCTCTAAAAAAATTTTTTTGATTGTTTATTTCCTAAACCAGATACTGAATCGTAAAGGATATCTCGAATTATTTATCGCATTTATATTCTTAAAGTATTATATTTGAAGCGAATTAATAAGTAAGTATGCACGTGTATGTTACGTCATCGACTCATTGGTGAGCATTCTTTTAATGCAACTAAAGGCAGCCAAGCATACCGCCCACCTAATAGTAGTGGGAGGACTTCAGTGTGCTCTGTGCGAGTTTTTTAACGTTCTCGATAGCGTAAAAGTTAACTCATATTTGTATGGAGTTGAACTTTTGCCTACGTTTGCCGCTAGGGGCGCTGTTCCTAGTTATTAGTGATCCCACAGTAGTCGAAATACGACTATAACTAATTGAAATTATAAGTTTGAACATTATTAAGGTTCTATTATAATTCTATAATCACTGATTTCGCCAAGAATACACTATAGACAAATAATATTAAAGGTAAACAATATTAACCTATTCTCAATTTGACCACAGACTATTTGCAATAATAACAAAAGTTTGACAATAAACAAAGAGTATATGTGTCAAATACATGGTATTATGTGTTGTAATGTTTTTTTTATTGATTTAATGTATTATTAATGCATAATTTTTTTTTAAATATATTAGCATTCTGCACTCCTTCTCTATACACTCTGTAAGTGTGGAAAATTTTATACTCCTCCGTCCGCGCAATTTTCGTAAAAAGGGGTACAAGGTTTTTGCTTCACGTATTAATATATAGATTAGTTATTTTGAGTTAACTGTTACGCTATTGAGAAGCTAAAAAACTCACAATAAGTACACTGGACGTCACCAAAGCCGGGGAATACAGCCTAGATGTATTCCTGCCTTTGAAGCTTTCTAGATCCTCCTTTGAAAATGACATATTACGTACGATGAGGAAATTATTTAATAATAAACCTCAGGTACAATAGAAATACCTCCTAATTAATTAGATGTGATTTTGTACGTTTTGTAAGAAGTAAATCATTTTGTAAAGTGGCAACATTCGTTGGATAATCATACAGCCATCGATATTTTAAAAATAGCCATTATCAGAAATAATAGTAGAANGATCCTCCTTTGAAAATGACATATTACGTACGATGAGGAAATTATTTAATAATAAACCTCAGGTACAATAGAAATACCTCCTAATTAATTAGATGTGATTTTGTACGTTTTGTAAGAAGTAAATCATTTTGTAAAGTGGCAACATTCGTTGGATAATCATACAGCCATCGATATTTTAAAAATAGCCATTATCAGAAATAATAGTAGAAATAAAAGAGGTACTTACCAACTTAAATTACTTCTTTTTTTTTTTTTTCAGTAACACGTAAGCGTGCAAATGTATAATTTACATATGCATATAAATATTATTGCGTTTCACAATTAACTTATATAAGATTATAACAATTTCGAATATGTAAAAAGTTCCTGAATAAATACATACCATAGTGTAATAAGTAAATAATATTTTATGAATGTTTTATAAAATACGTATAATTAAGTACCTAAATGAATCGTAAATAAAAAAATCATGACATACAAAATTCACGATTTTATACCAAGTTTTTCGTAAATAATTGTTATGTGCCAAAGAAAATAATAATATTATGTACATTTTTTTTTTAATTCTTTTATTCGCAAAAAGATAGTGTATTAAAAAAAATGCCGTAACGAAATGTAATTTTGTTCGTATTTAATAGAAGATAGAATCTTCTGGAGTTTTCGAAATAATTAAATACCGAATCGGTTTGATTTTCAATGTTAATTTATTGTGTGCTCGTTTTGTGCTTTGAAACTTTAATCAAGTACATTCCTTAAATAAAAAATATTCAAAAACTTTATTTGTATATTATTTATTGATTGCAGAGATTATTCTTAGAAATTTTTCGTTTTACATACTCGATTTATTAATTTTAATTGCATGTGTCATAGTGAGATGATTAAATTCAAATTTCATCTATTTTTAATTAAACTTAACAATATAAGACCAAAGAGCTGCTCTAATGGTGAACCTAGAAGCTGTGAATGGAACTCATGATATGCCACTCGTCAACTCATCTAGATTGGTCTTATTAGATTTGTCTCAACGTTTTTACCTGTAAATTTTGTGTGAGAACATAAATCGCGTAATAAACACTTAATCCCGTACTTTCAAAACTACAATTGTAAATGTCGATCATCTTAAACAATGAATAACTATTGACTCGAATGAATACTTTTAATCGGAGTATTAAATTTCCCCATATTTGATACCAGCATATAAACTTATTGATTGCTTATGATAAACTGATAAATTGACGTCATTTTGTACTAGACAAATCGACAATGATTTTAAATTAAGGGTCTAATAGAAGTCAAAACAGTAGCAACGTCCTTAACTAGTAAATATTTTTTTCAATTGTATCTTCATATTTCCCAAGCCCGCAATGAGAGAGAGAGTATTGGTATTTTGGTTTATGTTCCACAATTTGTTTATATCTACAACTTAGTTGATACAAGTTTTTGTCAGGTAAAGAATGTACCTAATCTATGGCAATACAGTCAGACTACTTCCGCCATTAAAACAAGTCACACGCAGAGCTCGTCGTTTTATTATAAATTATATATATATGTCACAACCCGGCCATCCTATGACTTCACAGTTTTAATTAATATGGGTAGTTTAACCGAATCAGCATAAGTCGGCAGTGCTGTTGTTGATAAACTAATTTGTACGCTTTTTTGCTTCTTGCGTTTGCTTAATATTGAGAGAATTGAAAATCATGCTTTTTCTTCGTTAAATAAATATAATTAAATTCACATAACTTAGCACCATTCGTTACAAAGTAATAAATGCATTTTTCTGACTACAGTACACAGTGAGTATCATAAATTTAAAATACTAAATTATTATTGCTTAATTAAAACACAAACTGTATAATTCATAAATCAGTCAAATCATATTCTTCTGTAATTGTACCATCACCTCTTATTCTTCTAAACACCCCAATAGTTGCAGTAGTACACCATAGCAAGAAAATCAACATACCGAAAATCAGTAATATTGTTCTATAAATCAGTAATTTTCATTATTGTAGTAAACAATCCAAAATGTTGATTTCACTAAAGCTAAGGAATACTACCGTGTTATGCCAATTATGAAATAGTAAATGCAAGTTTAAAAAAAATTATACATTAAATTCTAAATCGATAACTCTTTTCATTCATTCATTTTAGATAGAAAACTATTTTAAATTCAGAAAAGATGTGTGTGTAAATTTACTGTTTTACTACAGTATGTTGGTTGAACATAGGTCTAGATGCGGACAACAACTTTTCAGAGACGACGTGAGCTATTCTTGAGCTTCGTTGCCATACTAACTCACGGGTGCGCTCGTGGTTACTGACGACTCGTACCTACGGAAAAATATTCCAATATATTCTATGAAATAGATGGTAGCGGTGTACGAAAGAAAAAGAAACCCAAAAAGTTTGATTACTTTGACGACTGTACATAATCCAATCATAAACATTTTCATTTTACTGGTGGTAGGACCTCTTGTGAGTCCGCTTGGGTAGGTACCACCGCCCTGCCTGTTTCTGCCGTGAAGCAGTGATGCGTTTCGGTTTGAAGGGTGGGGCAGCCGTTGTAACTATACCGAGATCTTAGAACTTATATCTCAAGGTGGGTGGCGCATTTACGTTGTAGATGTCTATGGGCTCCAGTAACCACTTAACACTAGGTGGGCTGTAAGTTCGTCCACCCATCTAAAAAATAAAACTTTGGATTCAGAGGCTCAAGTAAATAAAGACAGAAATAATTATCTAATTTCTTTTAAAGGTAATTTGAATGGAGAGCAGTTTATAGTTGGATTCAAGACATTAAAATGGTAATTGAGTTCATTACCTGTTTCGGCTGAAGAACCTTGATCGAATGCAGTGTGGCGACACCCTGACTACTAACTCTGAAACTCAATTTCCCGATCATCTCCTCCGTGGTGGCGGTGGCAGATTTCAACTCTTTCTTAGCTCCACGTCCGACCTATGAATAAATAATTTCGCGATAAATTAATTATTTTTCACATAGAAAGCTTCAAGGAATCTGCAACTGTCAGATTCATATATCAACATATCAGATTCGAAATATTTCTAGGATACGCATATTGAAATATTTCCGAAGCTCACCTCTTTCTCGACTCTTAAAACAAGAGGTCCAACTGCGAAATTACTTTTAACAGTCGTGTGATCTGCCTCGATTTTGACGGAAACGTCTCCCTTTCTCCTCAAAGAAGATAATCCGTATAGAGTCCCTTTGGCTCTCGGTCTGCTTTTTTCACTCGTCTTTGTCTTGTTCTTTGTTGTGACTGGTTTCTTTGTTGTTGTCTTTGTTGGGGGCTTGGGTTTTGGTTTAGTGGCTTTCGTTGGCGGTTTAGCTTTAATAGTTGTCGGCTTAGCCTTTGTATCTTTAATAGCTCTAGATTCAGATGTAGCATTGGTCACTTCCTCAATGACATTTTCGATAGGCTTAACATCGCTATTTTCTACAATTTCTTCTTTTCTAGTTTCAGGGATTTCCGTTGACTTAACTTTATTTTTCTTAGTCGAATTTCGTCGAGATGTGTTCTTTTTGTTTGTTTTCCTGAAAATAAACGTATCTCCTTTTGAAAATTGGCGTTGCAGAAAAAGTATTGATTAATCAACTTCAAAAGTAAATCAATTAAGTGGGTAGAAATAGCCAAATTGCCTAAACGTAAAACGTTTTAGGGCGTTTAAAGTAAATGTAATAAATCGACATAATATTATCTCATTCAGTAGATCATTCGATTTACAAAAGGTTTCAAAATCAGAGAAAGTGAAAGTATTGCAAAATTCCTGTCTAAAGATGACAATCTCTTACTACTAATTGACTGACTAACAAAACGTACCTTTTATTTGATTTTGGTTTGTTCTTTTTGGGTTTATTACTCTTTTTACTTGCGTCTATAGGCTGTAGCTTTACGTTCACTGGGTCGTAGGACTTCCTTAAAATGTCGTTCATCTTCTGCAGGATATTATCTACGAATCTGTTATATCTTTTGAAAATATCGTTGTGCGCCGCAGCCTCAGGAGCAGGCTTCTTGTTCGGTTCATCACTCAAGGCGCCTATTAGAATGCAACATTACTTTTTTAACAGGTTTTTTTTTCTAATTCTATGAATGCTTGTAAATAGCACTAACTCTGCGATTAAACATAGATATGAGATTAAGTGGTTTTCTGTTGTGAAGTGGTAGTCTATTGTAAACTCTTGAAAGCTTTAAAGTTAAGCTTACTAGCACTGCAACGAACATATGATTACAGTCACTCGTCATTACGAGTAATAAGATAATATTGCATCCTGCTTTGATATAAAATAATTTATTTTCTCGGGAGAAGGAACGGCTTTCGGATCTATAATCGAACAGTCGATTTTTAGATAATTCGGTACGTAAAATCACGAATGAGCAGATACTTTCGTATTTATTAAGATATACCTGGAGCTGTCTGGATAATGTAAATAATTTACTGTGATGAAAAGTATCCTGTGTGAGTGTATGCAAACAAACCCAGATTATAAATTATTTTTGTTCGTAATTTCATCCAAATCCGTTATGCAGTTTTGCGTGAATAATCGTGAAACATCAAAGGTGCTTGCCGTATATTATTATAAATGTTATTATTAAAATAATATTTTACATATATTATTAATAAATATACTTTCGGCTTTCACTTGTGACCAACAACATCACACTGCTAAATAATGATTACAAAATCAGAGAAACTTCATTTGTAAACAATTTCTCTTTTGACCGGCGCGATATGGCTTTTCTCATTTAAATATTCAAAACTATCAGCTGCATATTGTCATTCCGATGTGGCTACCTAACGATGTGTAAGTTACACCTTATAATTATTCATCGGAACAGCCACATAGCCCCATTCGAGACACGTTGAGCACCGGCACGCGAACTAACCGTAACGTTCTCGAAGAGCCGTTTGAATTCTAATCATTGATTACAATTAATACGTCCACTGAACGGTGAATTTTCTATTTTCCACACGTAAAAGAAATTGCGTGCCGCGCCACGCACATTCAAAGAAATCTAATTACAACACACTTTGATACTTCACTGAACTTAATTCAAAGCTTTATACCAAGTTGTTTATTTGGATTCAGATTGTTTTGTTATATTTGTAATATTCACGTAAAGCTTATAAAATCATGTTAATAAATCCGTTTTCTAAACCATACGAACATATAAACATCCGTGATCGGAGTCCGTCGGCGAGATAGCGGCAGTGGCGTCAATAACCGATCTCAAACAAGTTCGATTTGGGTCGAATGTGCCTTCTCGCGACACTCCCCACGTTTCACGGCGGTAAACATTTAAAAAATTTCTCTTTTCACATCTCGTTGTCTAGTTTCACCGAGCCGGACGTTCGTAATGCAAATTTCGTGAATTACGTCATAATCGAGTGAGAGTAAACATTTAACTCGATTTACTTTCTATCTGAATTTAAATTCGAATTTACTTCCTACCAAGGTCGTTCCTAAGACTGAACAAGCAAGGTCATAGAAAGAAAGTGTCAAGGCTTTAGAAGAAATCGGGCGAGTTCATCGAACTCGTTGGGAAAGTAAGCGGACGGACGACCTCATAACATACATGGGGCCTGAACTAGTTCCTTCGGGGCAACCTGCTGTGTGCTACCTTACATATACCGGGCACCGACTTAGCTCTAGATTTCTAATTTATTACCACAGGAGTTTCAAACGTTATTAGTATTATAATTCACGCACAACTTTATCGTGTGGCATTAGGCGTTAATATTTGAAATTATTTAGGGAATGAACAAAATATAGGAGAGGATGATTTATGCGTTAAACTACATAGATAAATCGGTCAAAAAGCTAGTTAATACCATATAAATATAATTCGTTATATATTTATTGTTATATGTACAAAAAATGAATAAATAAATAATGTTATGTTATGCATTTGACAACCTTTATAGGATACTTTTATATGAACGGGAAGGAAAGAGAATATAAATACTATAGCTGACTAGTATAACACATTTATTATAACAATCAAAATTAAATTAATTACTAGATAATGTCACTCGATTAACTGTTAACCGAAATCTAACACTGAAACAGCCAACTAGTATTCTGACCGATTTTTATGTAATTCAAATTCGACGAAAATTTATGATATATTTCAGTCGAGATTTGATGTATTCAACGCACGAATGCTCGAAAAGGTACGAGAATAAATTTCATACAACAAATTAGAACAACAGATTTATTTCAAATAAATTGCCACGTGACCAGTGTGACACGATCTAGACATTAATTTATCTCGCTCGGTTCCATGCTAAAAATCACTTTCATACATCAAACACGCTCACTTAATAAGTTAAATAAATATTAAAATAAATAAATAGTCAATAAATAGCTAAGCTAAAGGAGGGGACCGTGGAGGTCTCTCAGGTGGATGAGTGGACGAGGACTCCGCCGTCGCCTAATCACTATCTGAACTTTTTGTGTTCGGCTGCTGCCGCCGCGGCCATTGTTGCTTTGGTTTTCTTTATTTTAGCCGCATAACTGGCTTTTTTCCCTGATTTTTTGGCATACACGGCAATGTTCGCCTTCAACTTTTTGGACTCACGTGAGTGCTTAGCCGAGACATTTCTGCCGAAAGCGTCAGTGACATCGTCTTCTTCGTCGTCATCTTCTTCCTCGTCTTCCTCATCATCATCTTCTGGTTCGAGAGCGTCGTCGATGTCATCTTCGTCGTCGTCGTCGTCTTCGGCTTCGGTGGCAGCGGCAGCTTCTGAACTAGCTGCAACGGCTTCTGTCTCAGCACTAATGGGATCCTTTTGCACCTCGTTTTCTTCGCCTTCAGCGACGGTTTCGGTTTCTGATGCTTCGACGTCTTCAGCAGCAGCGGCAGCTTCTTCAGCAACAGCAGCTACGGGTGCTGCTGCTGCAGTATCCACTGGGGCTGCTACAGGCTGTACAGCTGCTACAGCTGGTTCGTCATCATCATCTTCGTCTCCTGAAAATGATATGTAATATCAATTCGTAAACAGTTACTAAAACAAACAATTTGCCATTAAGTTCTTATAATCAGAGCCATAAAATCGGTCGTTCAAGCCATATTTACGAACTTTTATGATGAACTTGTTTGTTTGTCAACATAAAATAGACTTCTTTTTTACAGTTCTGAATTCGAGAAATTCGAGACTCATACTATCATTCGCACTTACCCCCTAAAATTTCATCGAAAATCCTTTCCAGGTAGTCATCGTCTTCATCATCATCAGCTTCTTCTTCGTCGTCTTCATCATCGTCTTCATCGTCGTCATCTACTGCATTGAACAAAAACTGCTTTAGCATTCACCATTTTCAAGATGCAATACTAAACTAAATAAAGTCTGTGTCTACCGTTAGGATTCTGTGTTTATTTAGGCACGTCTCAAAACTACGGCAATGATAATAACGTATTAGCACCACTGATTAGCGGGTAGCAGAAATGAACTGTTAAAGAAACAGTTAATCAGTTTGAACGCGCCGTTGGTTCCCGATGCGTGACTTCCTGATCACTTAGGCTTTCTGAGAAAGCAAGGTTTGCATCAATTTCTTTGATTAAGTCTTCTACGAGAATTAATTAGCAAATGAGAGCGCTTGTCACGGTTATCGACTGGCATTCCGTGTTTGAGCGAACGTGTCCTGATTCTAAGGAATTTTTATCGACTACTCGTAATACTATTATTGATTGTTTCTCTAATTCTATACTGTGGTAAAACACCACGACGCGGTTTATTCAATTTCAATTTTTTTTTTCATACAATACTTTGTTAATTTAGGTATTTATCTGAGTGTAGATATCAAAATTATAAAACGCGATTGCTGAGTATTCATAAGGGTTAAACATTTTTCGAAATAGCTTGAATTACAATTTCAATTAAAATTATTTATTACACAAATATCGATAACACTAAACCTTTAAAATAATTTTGAGTTTTTTGGACATAGCCGTGAGATCTTACAAAAAATATTTCAATATACTACAATATATTTTTCACATATACTAGGCAAACCAACACAACACTAAATAGCTAATTCAAAGTGTACTAAATACGCCCCTATTTTGAAACTACTCGCGCGCCACCGTTGTTTATACGTTAGTGATGCCAGAGATATTTCCTGAAGTTCTACAAGCAAGTTCAAAATTTTACTAATAGAAACATCGAAACAAATAAACCTACAAATCTCCCTTGGTTATTTTCCAAGAATGATGTATTTAAAATAAGTACTAAATAAAAAACTTATGAAAAAAAAATTAAGCACAGTTGGAAGTCTGACCTGGCAAATCAAGACCAACATCATCATCATCGTCATCGTCATCATCGTCGTCGTCGTCGTCGTCGTCATCAGCGGACGCGGCTGGCGCTACAGCGGCTGGAGCGACGGCCTGCCTTCCCACTTCCTTATCCTCTTCAGGCCGCGAGATAGGATTCCCGTAGGCCGACAAAACGAGACAGCATAACGCCGCCAAATAGAACAACGACCTCATCTCGTATCTGAAACAAATGCACACCTTTAATAACGCCACCGGGATGTCTAGTGTCGCTCGCCGCGCACACGACACCGTTGCTAAACACAACACACTTCACAAGCACATGCACTGTGTCCATGACACTTCACCTTTTGATTGTCACTTGTTGAGTTCGTGGGCTCTTAGCGGAAGAGGTTCCGCTCGCGTCTTTGTTTGCCGGTGGTCGGGACGTTATGGCCCAGCCTGACGAGCGGAAACGGTATAGCGGCGGCGTCTTCACCGCGCACTCTTTTATAGAGTTACGTCACACACGCTGGAAAGGAAAGTAGTGATGGTAGTCACCGACACAACGTCACCAAAGAGTATATACGAAGGCAGAAGCGACTTCACAATATTCGATCCCGGATTTTAATGTGCGCGAGTGTATGTCCGGGATTCTAAAACTGTTTGTCTTTATTAATTTTGACAACCAATTTATGAACACACTCCATGTGAGCCTATTTTAGCAAACCATTCGAAAATATTATCCAAAGTTTCTGCCACTGTGGCGAGACACGCCATTTAAGAAGAAGGTATATAGTAAACAAAAAGTGTACCCAACCGTTCAACAGAAAACATGAGTCTGCGATCGCGGCCTTCCTAAGCTAGTACGTTTACTTAATTATCTAGGCCTAATTCCTCTGTTCCTACTGCTACTCTCCATCCATTGGTGCTAGAGTGAACCTAGACGGATTGGTACTGACTTGTTTATTTCTGGCGCGGCAACAATCACGCTTAAGTCCTAGGGGTGGGATAGCCACATTATCTCTGATTGAATTAAGATTGTTCTAAGATAGTTAGTAGATAGACACTCCAATAATCGTTAAACATCAGCATATCTACAAACTGGTCTTCTCATTCTTTAAAAGACAAACAGTAAAAATCTAGAAACAAGTATACGTATTTTTTTTTTGTTAAACCCTAATTAAAGAAATCAATGTTAACACTAAAATTCCATAGTAAGCGAACTTTATAATTGCTACTATCAAAAAATTGTTAATGTACAAAATTAATTTGATCATGCCTTATCTATTTGCCAACCCTGTACCAACCCTGTAGTACGAAATGTGGTTTTCCTTTTTTTTAAATATCTGAGTAATGAGTAAATTAGTGAATAGATAGACTTAAACTTAGAGCCATTTGAAACCATTGTAAATTTATAATAATCAAATAGTGCACTTGGAGATAACATAAATTGCTAGAAACTATAAGCGAAAAATACTTTCTGGCAGCAAATGGACTCCAACCAATTTTTCTTTTCGTCATATATTATGGACATAGAAACGTGAAGTTAAAGTCTCGATTGTAACCAACCCTGCGGAGTTATTAGGCAGCGGCCTGGCTCTGCCCCTGGCATTGCTAAAGTCCATGGGCGACGGTAACCGCTCACCATAAGGTGGGTCGTATGTTCGTCTGCCTACAAGGGCAGAAAAAAAAATCTTCAGTATTCGGGAATTGTTGATATATTAACCACGTACTCTGTAAAGTAATCGAAACCTCGAAATAAGTGACAGTAAAAAACCACAAAATTAAACCGTAAAAGTAGTTTTAGTTTTATTTACAACTCGTGATAAATAAAAAAAATACTACATTAACTAGCACGGCCTGGAAATAGCAAACAATATCGGGCGATTAGAATGTTTAAAAACTGAACGAAATGATTTATTTGTCCATGAGCACGAGAATAATAATACATATTATTATATTCTCGAAAATTCGAGATTGAGCCGTTCGAATCATTTTAATTATGTTCCTATATCTGTAATAAGTTAATAACGGTTGATCTTTGACGAAAGAGGGGTTGCACAGACTCGTCCGATTAATTTATTCAACTTATTTACCGAGTCGACGTGTCTCGATAGAGAAAAGTGTGGTCAACGCTAGTGTGGTGCCGGAATCATAAACATTTTAGTACATTAGTATGAGTGGACCGGACCCATACTTTCACTTAAGGTTATGTATGTAAACGCGCCTTAAGTATTACGGTCGAAATGACGTAAATACTAAAACGTGAGCGATTCTTAAAGCTCTCAAATAGAAATGTATCTTATACGAAGTAACTAAACGAGTGTTCCTAGCTTTTTAAAAGTGTACAGGATTTTTAATTCCTTCCGCGCATTCTTATTCTAAGCATTTCTAATGAATTATATTAATGCCTACAAGTTTTTTTTTATGTAAAATGAATAATAATTATTTTATGACCTACTGGCTGACCCGGCAGATTTCGTACTGCCTCAATCGATGTATTTGTATAAAATAAACTTAAAACAAACAAAAGGAATCCGTCCGACGGGGGACACATCAAAGGAAAAACAAAATTGTTTGTTTTTATATAATTCCGAGCATTTTCATATATTTATTCACCTTTTAAAGCTTCTCTGGACTTCCACGAATAATTCAAGACCAAAATTAGCCAAATCGGTCCAGCGGCTCTCGAGTTTTAGCGAGACTAACGAACAGCAATTCGTTTTTATATATATAGATAGATTACTGAAAACGGACAAACAAACTTATCAAATGAACTATTGAAATAATTAGATAATGAAATTTCGTTAATTGGCAAATAACCTGTAAAGTTTCACACCATGAAATTAATTCCACCGCTTGCATGTAAAGATTGTGCTGAAGTTTCAATTATATTGTAATAAGAATAATAATGAGTGACTCCTTTGCGGCAGAATGGGTAAGGACATCAGAGCTTACGATATGCGACTGTCACTTTCAAAGTCGAGCAAAGGAAATAAGGTGAGTACAATAATAAAATCGACAAATCTGAAAGTTTACCAGCAGCAGCACGAAGAAGCTCCCATATCAGATCTTATTGGCTTGCTTTTAAAATTAGCTAACAACAAATTAATTTGTTTTTGTAATAATTTTAATAAAATGAAAATCTTAAAAGTAAAGTCGTCGCGACAGCAGAACAGTGTGTGCTGTTGGCTTAACAAATTATTTACAAACTAAAAATCTTTGAATAAAAATCTGAATATTTGGACAGTAAAAAAAGATTTTCAACAAATATATGCATTTTGGGTTACATTTCAAATTTCGAATTTTAGGCTATTCAAATAAGGTTAGAAATCTTAAAAATAATATTAGCATAATTAAATCACAAAAACGATTTCCGTTAACATTAAATATTGAAATAATTCATAAATAAACGCTCGACCATGAAATATACCGTACCGAAAGAATCTCATATGAAGTTGAAGTTATGAAAAAAATGCTCATTGTACTATATGTGCTTTAACAACAAACAAAAATGTTTAATTAAAACTAAATTTTCTTTTTTATTGCTTAGATGGGTGGACGAGCTCACAGCCCACCTGGTGTTAAGTATTTACTGGAGCCCATAGACATCTACAACGTAAATGCGCCACCCACCTTGAGATATAGTTACATTCTCAGTATAGTTACAACGGCTGCCCTGCCCTTCAAACCGAAACGCATTACTGCTTCACGGCAGAAATAGGCAGGGTGGTGGTACCTACCCGTGCGGACTCACAAGAGGTCCTACCACTATTTCATTAGAAAAATTGGTACCCACCTGCGGGATTCGAAGACCGATGCATCGCTAGCATGCACCGGACGTCTTATCCTTTAGGCCACGACGACTTCAAACATGGGTCCGTTATCTAAGTTTCCTCTAACTGATACTAACATTTCTCCGTCTTCGTATTGAGTAATACTAGTACCTACTATTGAATAGGTCGTAGTAGTTGGGTCGAAGTCGCATTGAAGTCGCAGTAGGTATTGATAGGACTTTAAATAAGCCGGGTGGGTCCCACTGTTCTGACAATACCGCGATCAAACCCGCAAAATTATAATTTGCGTAATTACTGGTGGTAGGGCCTCTTGTAAGTCCGCGCCCACCACCCACCCACCACCGCACCGTGGTTCGTACCCACCATCGCCCTGCCTATTTCTGCCGTGAAGCAGTAATACGTTTCGGTTTGAAGGGTGAGGCAGTCCTTGTAACTATACTTGAGAACTAGAACTTATATCTCAAGGTGTGTTGCGCATTTACGTTGTAGATGTCTATGGGTTTCAGTGACCACTAAACACCAGGTTGGCTGTGAGCTCTTACACCCATCTAAACAATAAAAAAAAAACATTTGAGAAGGGTTGGATGATGATCATGAAACTTCATTGTCATCAGGTCTGACGTTATACGGCTGATTTGGATTAAAAGCAACATTGTCTTCAATCATACGGGTAATTGTATACACAAAGAAACGCTAATTACCTCAATCTTTTTACAAAAACAATTAAGAATTCTGTCGCAACTTGATATCGCGACATAGCTTCCAAACGTAGAAAGGTCTAAACCTGTTTTGGTTTTGTAGGCGTCCACAAATATTTGTATGCGACTTGTGAATGAACCCCGAGGACTTTCTCTCCGTTCAACTGATTCTCTAACTGGTGTCGGTACACCATAACGTAGACGGTTTGTATACGTTTTGTTGTATGCCGATGCAGAAGGATTGGGCATTTTCAAAGTTTTCTTACTTCAAACACAGTAAAAACTAGTTGCAAAACTCCGATTGTGACCGAAAGAAACAATACGCATTAGTGCGAGTATAGGTACGTAGTGTGAAAAGTTTTTTTTAATGATTGAAAGATTACTGGTGGCCCGGAGGCCTTTCCAGCTTCACCAGGACAGGAGGGCGAGCAAATGCTCAGCCAGGAGGGGTGGGATTTGCTAACAACTGCCCGAGCGCCTCCGATGGAGACCTAACAACTCAAGAGCAATTGCTTCGCGAATGAATCTAGTGTGAAATGTGTTTATGACTACATTTAGTTGGCTCGCTGAAAAATGTCAACAGCCGAGTGGAAGCTGACTGTTAGTTATTCGCAAAAATGAATCCAGATTTGTTTCAGTGGTATTCGAGGTCCATGGATTTTATTATGTATATGCGTTTTTTATCCATTTTAACCGTTTCTAACCTTAAAGGAAGGTTTATGATGGAATGCAGAGTATTATTAACACACTATAAGTAACACGCGAACGGATTTCATGGAACGAGTGCAAATTCATAAACTTGACGTTTGAGACAGCGAATCGTATTAGGGCTTTATCAGAAAAATATAACATATAGCTACGGTAGGCAGTAGGCTCTCTCTGCCCCTGGCTTTGTTCACGTCCATGGGCGATGGTAACCACTCACCATCAGGTGGGCCGTATGCTAGTTTACCAACA